GTCGCATTAGGAGAGGTTCTGATGGAGGAGATTGGAGAATTCCTGTCTGGACACACTCCCTGCGGTTGAGAGCAAGAACCAAGAAAGAGAGCAGCCTAGACCATGCCAGGTAATAGTACCCACAGACATACATTTGGTGAGGTCTGGGGTGAACCAGGCTGGGCCAGCTCATATTACCCAATGCAAAGTATGACCACCACCATGGAGTGTGCGTCAGGCCAGCTTAGGCTTCAACACAAGCCAATTCACATGAGAGCCGGGACCAGGAGCTAGCTAGGTTGGGCTAAGGTTGTAGCACTAACCAGCATGAGCTAGAACTAGGATTGGGCTGGACCACTCAAGGCTACAGCACCCACTGCAAATGCTGAGGTGAGGCAGGCCATGCAAGACTGAACTGCAGTACCTAACCAGAGCACATGAGACCCAGGGGGAAAGTGTGAACCCGATATAAGGGCTGCATGGGACTCTCCTGCTGTACCACCACTCCCACTGTTGAGCATGAATGTTGGGATGGGGCAGACCTGACTGGGCAGCGTTATAGCAACTGTGGGCCTCATGTGAGCTGGATCAAGTGAAAGTCAGGCTGGGTTGACCGTTCCTGTTGGTTCATTCATAAGCTCAGTGGGTGTGGGTTTGTTGGGCTTTGCCACAGCATCAGCTGGCAGATGCTGACACAGGGGGAAATTCTGTCAGGCTAAAGAACGGAACCAACTGAGCATGCAAGATCTGGGTGATGGAGTGGGCCCAGGAAGGAAACAATGGACACTTCCATCTAGGGTTGCTACTCTGACTGGTGAGCATGAGAACCAGGACTAGGGACAAGCATGGCTAAACAGAGAGTGGCACCTGCCAGCATGTGTGTAGGCTGGATAGTAGGGCTGGTTGGATTAAAGTAGGCTTCAAGGCCCATTGACATGTATAAGAGCTGAGTGGGATGTGGGACAAATGGTCCCGGTGGCCCACTTTCCATTTAGCTCCCTGGTTGTGGCCTAGGAAAGCAGTAGAGGGTGGTCCAAAGCGTTGGGATCCTGCTCACATGTGGGAGACCTGGAAGGAGTGCCTGAGCTCCTTCAGATTGGCTCAGCTTCAGCCATTTCAGCCACGTTGGGAGTGAATCAGAAGATGGAAGATCTTTGTCTCTCCTCCTCTCTGTATATGTGACTTTCCAATAAAAATAAATCTTAAAAAAAAGAATTTTCATTTCCTGTGGTTGTTCACCCCATCAACAACTGCGGGATACAGTCTTGATGGGCTCACAGGCAGGGTGGTAACTGAGCTGATGCACAACATTCTGCAATTAGGAAAGAGTTTGTGGGCGTCAAGGACTCATCCCATTGGACATGGAAATTCCCTGAGACCACCCTCAGAGCAGCCTCATGCCTTCCGGTTTCTGCTGAGATGGCAACTCACTGAGTGGTTGAATGCCTGTCTACACAGTTCTAAAAGGGACATTCAAATGCCACAGTCCTTCTCCTTGATTCCCAGTGACCACCATCTGTCCAGTAATTCTGAATTTAACAACTATTAGATATAAGCTAAACTTGATTCAATGTTATTAACCAGCACTTTTTTTTAATCACCTTCAGCTTTGTTACACTTTCTCCCTTAGGATCCAACTGAACAAACACTATCCTCTGTGCTACACAGTACCAACATCGGGCACACAGTAGGGACCCATTACTTATCAACAGGACTCAACCAAATCTAAGTACAATCCCATCCCAAGTATTTTAGAAGCCTTAGTGTTCAGGGGAATAAAACCCCCATGAAGGCAGAAAAGATATTGAACTAGCCCAGGAGGCCCTGAGCTGGGAAGAAATATCCGATTGGAAGGTCATGAGCCTGCAGAACAAGGTATGGAGGAATTCAAACACATATAACTCCCAGTTCCACAAAGGCTTCCCTCCCAAGGGCCCTCACCCATCCTCAGGAAGACAAACATTGTGACTAAAACTAAAAGGCATCCATCCCTCATCCATCCATCAAACAGCCAATGAAGCCTTGGTTCGATACTAGATAATATTGTAGACATTAGGGGATCTTGACTCGGCTTAAGGAACCAATGGAAAAATGAGCATGGGACTAATTGTGGGTAACAGGAGCTATTTGGATTTAATAAAATCACCCTTGCCACCAATTGGCCAGGGAGGTAAGCTGAGGAACAAGCCTTTGTGACTCAGCCTCCTTTCTTGTGTAGGATCTAGAAGCAAATCAGTCCTTTCTCAGCTTCAGCTCCTAATATGCAAGAATGAGTCCAGATGCTCCCTTACCCACACAAGACCTTGAGAAGAAAACAGTACTGAGCTTCTCTCGCCCATGTGGGGGACCTGGGCTGCAACCATTTGGGGAATAACCCAGCAGCTAGATGACCTCTCTTTGTTCTAACCTTTATCTCAGTAAAAATCTTCCTCTCCAGCTCAACATGGTAACCTAGTAGCTAAAGTCCTTTTCTTTACTTCAAAGAATTTAAATATATTAGAAGAAAACAGAGGTAAGGAACTAGGTAAGAATTGATTACATGTTGAACAGGTGTAATAAAATTCAACATAAAACAAATAAAAATGCCTTAGAAAGGGGGGGGGTTTTAAAGAATTTTAAAAATGATTCTGAAAGCAATCAAAACTTTTTATAAACTATTACCATAAAAACTTGTTTAACTTTATGGTATCGAAGTTTAGCTTCATTGTAGTGTGCTTTTATGATCAATTTTTAGATAATATCAAGAATGTTCTTTTTCTAATCTCAGCAAATCTAATTCCATGTAGGATTCATCTTCCACAAACCTTGAAAAGCACGCTAATATTCCTTCAGTTATTTGTTCTATACTGATTCTATTTTATTTGCCCTATAGTGTATCTCCTTTATCAAATTACTACCTATTACAATTCAGACAGAACACACCTCTCATACCTCAGTCTTTAATATTCATGACATTCTCATGTATGTGGCTTCAATTACATTTGTCTCTCCACTCTGTTTGAATTTTTCATGTTACATAAAAAAAAAAACAAACAAACTAGGACTGTAGGTGATGGTCTAGGAGGCTAGTCCTCTGCTTGCAGTGCCAGCATTTTATGACAATTGGAATCCAAGCCTGTTACATTTCATGTTTAATTCCCTACTTATAACCTGGGAAAGAAGCAGATGGCTGTAATTTTCAGGCCACTGCACATACATGGGAAAGCTGGAGGAAACTCCTTGTTTTCAACGGAATCAGCTATGGCCATGGCAGCCATTTGGAGAGTGAACTGATGAATGGAGGATCTCTCTGCCCCTACTGTCAATCTGTCTTTCAAATAAAAAATTAAAAATAACCCAACAGATCTAAATTAAGATGAAAAGATAATATTGAGTTTTATCTATAACTATTTAAAAATTTTATGTTTGGACGAATTACATGAGAAAACAGGGAAATATTTTTATCTTATGAATCCTACACATTAGTCAAGTGGCTAAAGTCTTTGCCTTTCATACTGGGATCCCATATGGGTGTCAGTTTGTATCTCTCCTGCTCCACATCCCTACCAGTTCCCTGCTTGTGGCCTGGAAAAGCAGCCAAGGATGGCCCAAGGCTTGGGACTCTGCACCCTCACAGGGGACCCAAAAGAAGCTCCTGGCTCCAGGCTTTAGATGGGCTCAGCCCTGGCCAGATGTTGTGGCCACTTGGGGAGTGAAGCAGCAGATGGAAGTTTAAATGTTGTTACCCTCAAGTACAAAACTAACAATGTTTCTATAAACAGTTTGAAAAAATTAGAAAACAAAGATACAGAAAGTGGATCCATTATTTTGCAACTTGTTCCAACCCATTTTTACTAAAGCAGGATCTATAACCTGAATACATAAATGCTATTTTATCTCAAAACTCACAAATCCCTTCATTTTCCCTATTCCACCTTCCTAGGAGGCAATGAGAAGAATCAAAGGACATTAGAATGCTGTCAGAGGGATTGGGAATGTTTGAAACGGGGAACTTCAAAAGAGTAAATAAATCTCACTGCAAAGTAGTCTCTCTGAGGTGTGTTCCTAGGGAGGACCTTGGCCAGGATCTGGTCAGTATCAATATCAGAGGGATCACAGCCTGGGGCTCACATGAGAATGCTGATGGAAATCAGACGTGCACAAACTTCACTCTGCAGTTTAAGGCATTGATAATATGTTACATGATACATTCTACAGAAAAAGATGCCTCTCTTGTACTTGATGCTCAGCATTATGGAGCTTGATAGGGTCATGTCTCTAAATAGTAAGTAATAGAAGTAGTCAAAACTGTCACAGATGGGACCATGCCAATGAGCTTAATACTAAACATCTGACTTACCTCAACATCAGTCATGATGCCCACGCTTAAAACATTTTTAATTCATTTGAACATGGAATTATAATAGAGACAGAAGCAGAGAGGCATCTCTATTCAATTGATTGAAATCCCAAATTATTGCAACAGTAGTTGAGCTGGTGTGAAGCCAGAAGCCAGGAGCTAGATCAGAAGTGAATCAGCTACGACATAAACCAGTGGTTCCCTAGGTTACCATGGTAGAGTAACCAGAAGCATATTAGGGAATATGCCAGCGATGATGTTTATCCTCATAGTTGAAAGACTTTAGGCACAGGTTGGCATCCATTGGCAAGAAATTTGCTGTGGGAAGCCATGGTGCAGGAAATCAGCGTGAGCGTGACAGTAGTTGTGGCAGCTGATATTTAAACTCCAGTGGCCATTATCATATCCCCAAATCTGATGCCAAACAATTCTTATGCCTCTTGCACATACCTCTAAAAATATACAATGATTAGATAAGGGCCAAAAGTGATCCAGTTTGCCAGATGTCACCAATGAGTCACTCCCCGTTCTGAACAAAACACCAGTCCTTCAAAACTGGGTGGTTAGCATTACACTTGCCCACACGCATCAGTTGATATTTGTGAGTCCCATATTAATCTGTAATAGAATACTGGTGAATTAACACTGTAAAAAACAGCTATACTAGATGACTGCATAAATGCTATATGGAATCCAAAACAAGCATTATAAATAGAATATTTATTTTCAAAATTAAGATGTGAAAGCAGAACTTATTTACAACAAAATGAGATCAAATAGATTCCATCTCAAGTATTTTAGCAACACATAACCTTGATCTGAAATATGACACTCCTCATGTTTATTATTGGACACTTTTTGAGACTTTCAAAGTGTTTTTCCACATCCTACTGCAATTTTACAGTGTTAAAAAAATTTTACAATTTTACAGTGCAATTTTACCAATGCTTATTTTGGACTTTATAAGATTTGGCTGTGACAGCAGCTTTATAGTAGCTAGTTTTTCTGTTTACATACCTTTGTTTTTCTGAACTTCATAGGATCTGCAGAGGATTGACTTCAGAAAAATAATTTTTATTAGTTAATGCAATATTTTTGTAGCGTCTTTTGGATATGTTACTGAACTGTAACCGCATGTCAGTTTTTGCTTTCTATTGAAATCAATGTTTTTTGTGTATGAGTTTCTCAACACTTATTCAGGCATGTGACTTAGCTTATGTGATAACTGTCTGCTAGCCAAAAGATTTCCTGTTCTTGTCATATTGAAAAAGTTTTTCTCTTGTGTGAACTCTGATGATTGATTAGGTCTTTTTTATGGCAAAAGGCTTTCCCACACTCAATACATTCATAAGGTGTTTCCCCTGTGTGGATTCTCTGATGTGCAATTAGGGATTGCTTTTGACTAAAAGCTTTTCCACACTCAATACATTTATAAGGTTTTACTCCTGTGTGAATTCTGTGATGTATGATTAGTTTTGACTTTAGACGAAAATCTTTTCCACACTCACTACATTTATAAGGTTTTTCCCCTGTGTGGATCCTTTGATGTCTAATGAGATCTGACTGTGTGCAAAATGCTTTTCCACACTCATCACATTTATGAGGTTTTTCCCCTGTGTGAATCCTCTGATGTGCAATTAGTTGTGACTTGTGATAAAAACTTTTCCCACACTCACATTTATAAGCTTTTTCCCCTGTGTGGATTCTCTGATGTCTAATGACATCTGACTGTGTGCAAAACGCTTTTCCACATTCATTACATTTATAAGGTTTTTCCCCTGTGTGAATTCTATTATGTGTGATTAGCTGTGACTTCTGACAAAAAGCTTTCCCACACTCACTACATTTATAAGGTTTTTCCCCTGTATGAATTCTCTGATGGTTAATGAGCCCTGAATGATGGTAAAAACTTTTTCCACACTCATTACATGTATAAGGTTTTTCCCCTGTGTGGATTTTCTGGTGTAGGCTTAGCTGTGACTTCTGACAAAAAGCTTTCCCACAATCACTACATTTGTAAGGTTTTTCTCCTGTGTGGATTCTCTGATGTATGATTAGGTGTGACTTGTAACAAAAGCCTTTTCCACACTCATTACATTTATGAGGTTTTCCCCCTGTGTGAATTCTCTGATGTTTAATGAGATCAGACTGCTGGCAAAACGCTTTTCCACACTCACTACATTCATAAGGTTTTCCCCCTGTGTGGATTTTCTGATGCTCAATTGTTTCTCCTAAAATGATAGGGTCATTACATGGGTCTTTGATACACATTTTCTCACACGTAAGGAACATCTTCCTGCTGAAAGTTTTTTGTTTCCCATTGTGTTCAAAAGTGTACATCTTGTCATGCTGACTGAGATTTTCCCCACATTGGAATTTGTTCTCAGGTACATTAGAGACATGCTTGTTCCCAAGAGAGATTTCATCAGGCTTCCTAGGAAAAAAACACATTTTGAAATAAATTGTGGTGTTCTTTCCTCTATTTTCAAAAGGTACCCCATCTTTGAGATCTTTCTTGGGACACACTTTCCACCTCCCCTCTTCTAAGTTCACCTGATCACTTCGGAAGCAAACCTTCTGTAAGTAACTGAGTTCCAGTTTCTTTCCTATAATAAGCTGAGGAAAGAGCCACTGAGATGTCCTGGTAACATTTTCTCTGGTGCCCAACACAGGGCATGAAAAAGGCTTCTTATGCCAGTCATGTGGCTTAACTCAGCAGAGAGAATTTGCCGTGTTGGTATGCTTTCCCTCAAGTTGCATTGAACCTTGAAAATGACTCTTGATATTGGCTCTGCATAAATATGGATCCCTCCACCCCATTCACTGTCCACCACCTAACTCTGGCTGAAACTCCAAAGGGGTTGCTTTTTTTAGGGGGATGAAAATAGGAAGCATAGCTGTTTAGTAATTCAGAGTCTCTAATCCCCAACTACCTATTTGCTGTTTTCCTATCATCTCAATTTCCCCTTTGGGAGTAAGGCTTTGGGTGTGTGTTTGGAAGAAACCTGGAGGAGGACTGCCAGTCCCTGTCAGAAGCTACTTTTTTGCATGACTGGAATCTCCCTAGGTGGATTCTGAATGCTGACCACCTGGCATGGTACCCAAGCAAAGCTCCTTTCTCATGTTTCATGTTGGTTTATGCTTAGTGAAGGAGTACTGACTCATGGCACCCCCACAAGTATTGTGCTTGGGTTTGATCATTTGAAATGATTCATGTGGACCTCTGATGATGCCCTCTACACTCCTGAGATGAACTGAGAAAAGACCAGTTCCTTTATCTTGTCTCCTGTCTCAATTCTATCACCCATGTGGCTTCCAAAATCTGAGACCTGAACAGCCATAGAACAGGAGGGGTACACTTGGAACTACACAGTAGGAGCTATTGGTTGAGAGACAACCAATGGGAAATGTCTTCCCACAGGTTCCTGCTCAGACGAGGAACAGTCATGGAACACTTAAAAACCCAAGACCCTTCTGAAAAATGTTGGTGTATCTCCTTTCCACTCAATAGGTACCCCATTTCCTGCTCTCTCCCAGGTGGTTCTTTTCCATTCCCTCTGCTTTCTACATTCACTTGGTAACTCTGCAAATAAAACTTCTCTGCAAATAATAATAATAAAAAAAAGAAATTATATTTCTAGTTTCTTTTTTATACAATTTCCTTCACATAGCATGTTTCAATTATGGCCAGAGCTTAAATTAATCATCTTTGGCAATGCAGCTCTTTTTGAAGTTATACAACTTTTGTGATTACAACTTGCCTGAAAGTGGTTTCTTGATTTTCCTGTTTGGTTCTAAGCAGCTCATTCTTTCTGTAAGGATCTGAAATGAGGGGAAAAAATGTAAACATATCCGTGAATCACATCTAAGTATTTCTTTTCAAATGCTGAACTAAAACAATGACGTTTCTTGCCATTCTAGATACAGCAGATTTTGGTATTCATAAAATGCACACATTTATGATCATTACTCTTTTTAAGTTGATACATTAATACAATAAGTAGGGTTTCTTTTTCCATTTTCAATTACTTGGGTTTTTGTATTTTAAGTTGATAGGGGTAGGATAGAAAATATTGTACAGAAATTCAAACTAATGTTTGGGATGTATTACATTACATAACAGTTCTAGTTTGTCTTATCTTGCTGGGATCACTTAAAAGATCAATATTTAGTTCTACAATTCTGGTTTCAGGTTGATAAATTTTAACATTTGAAGGCATTGTTAGAATAGAACTGCACATGGAAATTGTAGAGTGCCTTTGTCTCATGCATGACATAATCTGATTTGGAAGAAACATAAAAACAAAAAGATCAGTATGAATTCCAGTGAATATTTACTGAGATACGTATCAACTTTCTTTCCCAGTATGTACTGCCCTACCTGGAAGTTGCTGGTTTACAGATTTTTCCACAGTCCATGGTACTGATTTTTGTTCCAACTTGAAGATCACATCAGGTTTTGTTATGTAGTACCCTGTTAATTGGAAATAATAGAGATTTTGTGAAATCACTATCTTGGAGCTTAAAGAAGAAAAGATTGGATCTAGAATCTGTGTCACAAAATGGTTAATATGAATCATTATCTGGAAGAGTAGATATTAAGATTCTTTAAAGCCCCAAATACTAGTCCTACTAGGTATATAAACTCTTCTTTAATTTGTCAAGTATAAAGAAAATATTCTGCTTGGGCATGACAGATTATCACTCACCCACGGACAACAGATTGCTATAGGTCTCAAGCATCACATCCCTGTACAGGGTCCTCTGAGTATTGTCCATGATCTGCCATTCATCCTGAGTAATGTCCACAGCCACATCTTCAAATGACACCAACACCTGAAACAGCACATGTCTCCTCAGTTCTGGATCACTAAATAGAAAGACTGACAGTACATTCTTCTACGTATGTTTGATTTGCAACTTCTATGGATGCAGCTTAATCTGTAATCTGTATGGCATTGTAGAGTAAAAGCAAAATGAAAATACTCATTCTGCATTACTTTCGCAATTCCAAAACTACAATAGACTATTATTCTGTAGCAGATTCTTTCCTCTGATTTTGATTAAATGTTGAAGGCATCGTTAGAATAAATCTGCAAGTAGAAGATACCACTCTTGGGCCCGGCGCGATGGCGCAAGTGGTTAAAGGTCCTCACCTTGCACACCCGGGATCCCATATGGGCGCCGGTTCTAAACCCAGCACCCCGCTTCCCTTCCAGCTCCCTGCCTGTGGCCTGGGAAAGCAGTCGAGGACGGCCCAAAGCTTTGGGAACCTGCACCTTGTGGGAGACCCGGAAAAGGCTCCTGGCTTCAGATCGGCATAGCATCGGCCGTTGCGCTCACTTGGGGAGTGAATCATTGGATGGAAGATCTTCCTCTCTGTCTCTCCTCTCTGTACATCCACCTTTCCAATGGAAAAAAAAAATAGATACCACTCTGTTTGCTCTTGTTATTGCCACTCTGCTTTTTCAATTAAATTAAAATAAATAAGCATTTTAACAAGGAACAAAAATATAAACTCAGTGCCTGTAATAGTAAGCTGAGTGTTTTCCAACTGCCATGTTCCCCCATAGTCTCTTTCTGTAGAATTTCTTCTTATCAGAAGGGCATATTGGGGGATTCTCTACTGATTTCTCAGCTACGAAGCAGGGGAAAGTTTTCTGGATCACTCACTTAAGGCATAGGATTAGGAAGTGAGTCTGTTCTCTGTTGAAAACCATACAATAAGAACAGAATCTGTATCCATGGATGTCTCACGTTCAGTCTTCTGAGGGATATGACTAAAGCTTCAGCTCAGGAGAACTATTCTTTGCATATTTTATTTACATCTTACAAAGACACAGATTTACAACCTATATCGCAACATAAGGTAAAAACAAAATAAAAACATATTGTCCTACGCTGTATTTGCAATTCTGAAGTTACAATGGAATTCCTTTATCATTCTATAAGATTATTTTCTCTAATAATTATGAGTTCACTGTGTAATCTGTAGATATAAATATGAACATGACATGCTAGATTAGATAAGAAAGACACATGCTTAATACTGGATACAATAATGAGAAAAATTTTTAATAGTTCATATTTTTCTCAAACAAGCCGGTATTAAAAAAATCTTACAAAGTGACATTAATAAAATTCAATTTTCTTATTTCAACTTGAAAAATGAAATATTGGAAAAAAATTTAAATTAAACTTGCACAAATGAGTAAACAGTTGCTACAGCTCACTCTGGATTTAAATACATATGTGATTTTTTTTTTACTTTGGAGGATGTATATGTCAAAATCCTTTCTGCTTTCTATTTTTTTTTTACTTTTTATGAAAAAAACATTTAAATTAAACTAAAATTTTAATTACAGTGAACTTCAAACTTAGTAGGGAAACAAATTACAGCCTCATTCAGAACTACCTTCTTACAACAAGTAGCTAAGTCTCAGCCAGTCATAGGCTGCCAATTGTACAGAAAATATACATACAAGGCAAATGCCATGCTGTTATAAACCAACTTGCTTCTGTGCTTTGGAAGCCCCTTAAAAGTAACTGTTACCTCTTTTGTTTCTAGCTATTTATTTTAATATCATGCTTCACCATTTGTTTGAGAAGACTGCATTTGCACCAATACTGATAAACACTGGTGGTTCTTCCTTGTTTTTGTTACTTTTGATTCTTCAAGCTACTCTATATAATAGAATATGCAATATTTATATATCTGTAACTAGCATATTTTACTTAACCCCTTACCCTCTAGTTACACTCATTTTCATGCAATCCACAAAATTTTGTTTTCATAGCTGAACAATAGTTTATTGTACATATGCAAATTTTCTTTATTCCTTCATCTAAAGATGGACACCTCAGATCTTTCCATATATTCTGTATTATGAACACTGCTACAGTAAACAAGATGGCTGCAGATATCTCTTTCATACAATGTGTTCATACTTTTAGGGCATACAACTAGTAGATGGCTCAATCATACAGCATAATCATTTCAGAAATTTTATACAGTGGCTGAATTAATTTATAACACCATCAACATTGTATAAAAGTTCTCATTCTCCACATATTCATCAGCATCTGCTACCCTTTGTTCCAAGTGATAATAATCATTTGGTCAGGGTTGGGGTGATATTTTATTGTGATTTTGATTTACATTCCCCTAATGGCAATTTTTTAAGAAGTACCTACTGAGATCTCTAGCTCACTCTCTTTCATCTTTTCTCCGCAACTCTGCATTTTAAATAAAAACCAAAGCATATGAAGCAGGAGCCCTCCCTTTAGTTTAACAGATAAAGAAACTGACATACCACATGGGCATTGGTTCATATCCTGGATGCTCCACTTCTGACCCAACTCCCTGACAGCAGGCCTAGAAAGGAAGTGGAGGATGGCTCAAACACTTGGGTTCCTGTAACCAAGCTGCAGACCTGGACAAAAACCCTGGCCCATGATTTAAGACTTGCTCCTCTCTGGACATTCTGCTTATTTGAGGAGTGAACCAGCAGATGGGAGATCTCTCTCCACCTCTCTCTCTTTCTTAGTAGCTCTGCTTTTCAAACTAATAAATCTGAAAGACAGAAAGAAAAACAGAAAGAAAGAAAGAAAGGAAACACTCTGCAAAAGGAAATGGCATTGTGGCATATCAGGTTAAGCTACCACCTTCCCCAATTTCCAATCTAGCTTTAAGCTAATGTGCAGTGGAAACAGCAGAAGATGGCTCAAGCACTGGGGTGAGAGATTCATCTAGGAGACAAAGTTGGACTTCCTGGTTTTTCTCTTTGACACGGTCCAGCCCTGACCATTGTGAACATTTGGAAAATCAATCACCAGATAGCAAACATATCTTAAATCAGTTTTTAAAATAAATAAAACCTCCAAATGCTACTAGGCACCATGCCATTTCAGCAATTCCAAAAAAGCAAAACTGAAAACTTGATAACTACTTTTAAATTGGAAACTCTTTCAACTCCCAAATGTTGAATGCTTATTTTCAGGTTGGTACTGAAGGATTTTCATTATATCGTCTGTAAGATCAATAAACACCATTTCAAACTTGATATTCCAAAATAATGAACAAATTCTTAGTTTCACTTTGAATTATGTAATAAATATGTCTTAGTTATATCATCAGAAAACTTAGAGGCAAAGTTTGAATCAGATTTAACTGCTCCAATGTCTAGTTATGACAATCTTACCTTCTTTCTCTCATACTTATTTTTTTGTTTCAGATTAAGAAAACCATCATAAAGCTCCTACAACACAATGTAAAACAAACTGAGACATAAACATAGAACTTACTGAAAGTGTGTTTTTGTTCTCTAGACTTGGAAGCATGTAGTGGGTTCAGGGATTCACCTGGAAGAAAAGGTGGAGAAGGAGTTATGGATTGGTTTTGCTTTCCCAAGTTTCCTTATTATTTCCTATTGTGTAAGTGATGTCAAGACAGGAACCAGACACAACGGCTAGAGAAACAAAGACAATCAACTTCCCTGGGCAGAATAGTGTATTACAGATGCCAAGTGCCACGAAGGTTTCCCAGAAACAGCATAAACAAGTTCAATAATTGGCAGTGATTAAACTCAAGTTATTACTAGGTTAAAGCAAACATTTCATACTTACTTAAAAATAAAAAATATTACTGCAAAGCATGAACTTATTTTTTTCAGCAACTATTGTTCAAATTACAACATACCGTAACAAAACACATTGTCACTAAAATTTATGATATGCAAAAATAATTCAGGGTATTCAGTATTTGTCTATTTCTACAGATGAGTTGCATAGGACTCCATATAAGGACTTCCAATTAGAACATTTATTGCTGTTAATACTAAAAACTCTGTTGAAGGCTGATATTTTTCAATTAGAGTAATTTTATCTGCACTTATACAGGAAAAATGACTTCAATGACATTTCCCAGTCCTTAAACCGTCAGTGACACTTGACTTTGCCATGCTATTTGTCTTAGCCCAGAGGACATCCATAAATCTGATAGTAATATATTTTGAAATGTATTTTTACTTTACCTCATTAAATAGTTATATTATAGCAACAGCTGGAGAAAACCATCGGACTTAGAGGATTGAATGTCATGATACAGGAGGTTGGGCTGCTGCTTGGGATAGATCACATCTGATACCCAATTGCCTTGTTTAAGTCTACTGGCTATTCAACACTTTCAACACAGTATCCTGCTATTGTGCCTGGAACACAGTGGGTGGCATACTAAATGATTCCTGTTGCTGGACTAAGCATTGCAAAGCCCGCAACCATCTGATGGAATATATCTCTCCTCTCTGCAATCTACCTTTCAAATAAATATTGTACTAATAAAAGTGATTAAAAATAAACATCCTGTATCTAAAACTACATATTTTAGATTGATTTGTGGATATATCTTGTGAGGAATAAGGAATTACATTTCAAGTTCAATTAAATAGAACTTCACAAAGACATTTCTATAACTGTTTTTTCAGGTATTTGGGTACTCTAGTTTGATTTATTCATAATAAGGATTTTATTATTAGTAGCAAAATGGTTTATATATATTCAAACACTTGAAAATGGGACTGGTGTGGTAGTCTAGTGGCTAAAGTCCTCGCCTTACATGCGCCGGGATCCCATACCGCAGCTGGTTTGTGTACCATCCAGCCAGTTCCTGTCCCAGCCAGCTTCCTGCCTGTGGCCTCAGAAAGCAGTAGAGGATGGCCTAAAGCCTCAGGTCCCTGAACCTACATGGGAGAATCAGAAGAAACTTCTGCATCCTGCCTTTGGATGGGTGCAGCTCCTACCATTGAGGCCACTTGGGGAGTGAAGTAATGGATGGGAGATCTTCCTCTGTGCCTCTCTTCTTCTTTTTATATCTGACTTTCCAATAAAATTAAATTTTTAAATACTTGAAAGCTGATGCATGCTAAAATCTGAAGCACTTTTGCCCATCAGTAATGGATAACATACTAAGTAAGAAAAACTGCATTACAAATTGATTGTATTCACACAATCCAAAGTATTGAAAAAGGATTTGCAGAGAAGAGAAGGTCTCGATCCCTGCTCATTCACTCTCCAAGTGGCTGCAATGGCTGGAGCTGAGCTGATTTGAAGCCAGGAGCCAGGATCTTCTTTCTGGTCTCTCACGCAGGTGCACATTCCAAGGCTTTGGGCCATTCTCTACTACGTTCCCAGCCCACAAGCAGGGAGCTGCATGGGAAGTGGAGCATCTGGGCCATTAATTGGTACCCATATGTGATTCAGGTGTAGCCAAGGCTTTGACCACTAGGCTGCAGCACCAGGCGCACTAGAACTCCACTGGCAGATGAGAACCAGCTTGCAGGAGGAGTCAGGGCTATCCACAACCAACTAGGCTGTAGCACCAACCAACAGGAGCTGGAACTGTAGGCAGGCTGGACTGACCAAGGCTGAAGCACCCACTGGTTGATGCCAAGGTGAGGCAAGCCACGTCAGTCTGGGGGTAGAAAGACAGTAACTGTGAGGCTTGGGAGCAGTGGTCTGACAGGACCTGGGTCAACTGGCCTGGGTGCTTTGGCCAGTCTGTGTGTTGGATGCTGGGTCTGTGAGCCCCTAGAGGACGGGGATTTCAGTGGGACCAGCATCACATGGTTGGGGTCCTTGGGCTCACCTGTGTAGTGGGTGCCTGATCCAGTGGTGTTCAAGTAACCTGGTAGAGGTCCTTGAGTATGCATGCACAGTGGGTGCTGGGTCCTTGAGCCTCAGGGACAGGTTAGTGAGGTCCAGGTAGTCAAGCCCAGTCCTTCCTCGAGCCCACATGCAGGGAAATGCTGGGTTCATGAGTCCTGGGGAGGGGAGGTCTGGTAAGATCTGGATCACCTTGGACCCACCTGCATGGTGAGTGCCAGGTCTGTGAGCTCCAGGGGCAGGGGTCCAGTGGTGTCAGGGTTGCATAGCCCAGGCCCTAGGGCCTTCTTGCAAAATGTGTGCAGGGTCAGGTGGAGGCCAGGTCATGTGTTCTAGGTCCTTGAATCTGCTTGTACAGTGGGTGCCGGGTCTTGGGCCTCGGGGGCAAGGGGTCCAGTGGGGCTCAGATCACATGGCTCATCTCTTGGGGCCTGCCTGCATGGTGGATGCTGCTCATGTGAGCCCCTGGGGCATGGGGTCCAATGCATGCCAAGTCTCCTGGTCTGGATCCTTGAACCTGGCTCATATATTCTTTTTTAGAAATAAGTAAATTTTTAAAAAAAGATTTATTTTTTATTTTTATTGGAAAGGTGGATATACAGAGAGGAGAGACAGAGAGGAAGATCTTCCGTCTGATGATTCACTCCCCAAGTGAGCACCAACAGCCGATGCTATGCCGATCCGAAGCCAGGAGCCTCTTCTGGTCTCCCACACGCGGGTGCAGGGTCCCAAAGCTTTGGGCCGTCCTTGACTGCTTTCCCAGGCCACAAGCAGCGAGCGGGATGGGAAGTGGGACTGCCGGGATTAGAACCGGCGCCCATATGGGATCCCGGGTGTGCAAGGCGAGGACCTTAACCACTTGCGCCATCGCACCGGGCCCTGAAATAAGTAAATTTTATGGGCCCATTTCAGCAGCCTAGTGGCTAAAGTCCTCATCTTGCACATGCCTGAATCCGATATGAGTGCTAATTTGTGTCCTGGCAGTCCTGGTTCCCACCCAGCTCCATGCTTGTGTCCTGAGAAAGCAGTAGAGGATGGCCCAGGACCTTGGGACCGACCCTACACCTGTGTGGGAGACCCAGAAGAAGCTCCTGGATCCGGGCTTCTGATCGGTTCAATTCTGCCGTTGCAGCCAGCTGGAGAGTGAATCAGTGGATGGTTGATCTTCCTCTCTGTCTATCTGAATATCCAATAAAAAATAAGTAAATCTTATTTTTTTTAAAGATTTATTTTTATTATTTTTTTTATTGGAAAGGCAGATATACAGAGAGGAGAGACAGAGAGGAAGATCTGCCATCCGAAGATTCACTCCCCAAGTGAGCGCAACGGCCGATGCTATACCGGTCCGAAGCCAGGAGCCTCTTCTGGGTCTCCCACGTGGGTGCAGGGTCCCAAAGCTTTGGGCCGTCCTTGACTGCTTTCCCAGGCCACAAGCAGGGAGCTGGATGGGAAGCAGGGCTGCCGGGATAGAACTGGCGCCCATATGGGATCCCGGGCGTGCAAGGCAAGGACCTTAACCACTTGTGCCACCGCACCGGACCCAGTAAATCTTATTTTTGATGATATTTACATTCGAGAGGGATGCACGTCCATGAAGACCACCAATAAGAGTGGGGAGGTTGAGGATTGGAACAAAGTAGATGAGATGGATCTTTGAATGACACTGGGTGGCTTTGCCCCATTCCTGGGTAGTTGTTAATGGATTGTCACAAGAGCTGATTTTCAGTATACTCAAACACTTAAGGCTATAAATGAATTCACTATAAATGAACACAGGGCCCCATCTACTGTGCCAGGTTATCTGGCATGCTCTGTATTCTTTCTTGTGTTTCAGAAACCTGTACTAACAAGTCTTGTCTGTCTCCTGTATCCAGCCCCATGTGCCTCTGGCTATGCCTGCTTTTATGTATCTCAGTTCTTGCTCATGGCACTGTAAGTTAGCTACAGTTTGAACACCTCACATGACTGGGACCCATATTCATCCTTGCATTAACCCATTTTAAAAATCTTACATTTAAACCACATCATTAAAGTCAATTGCCCTTGTGCCTGCAGCATAAGACAGCTGCTTGTAAAGAATCATTATTCACTCTGCTCAATAAACAATATTGCTAGATATTCTATATCTTTAGAAAAATTTCTATCTATTCATTACTTTATTGTAAGGACTGACTGGAATAGCGGCCACTAAGACAGATGTGCCACCTTAAATACCTGCCGCTCCTAGTATTGAACACCTTAGGCCCTCACAATTGTAAGCTTCATTCTCTTTAGGTTTAAACTGTATTCTCTGCCAATCCCCTGTACTCTATGACGTGGTACCTGACAGCTCTATTCACCAATGCCCTGTGGTACTTACCCCCTTTGTCCACTTACATCTGCATCTGCCAAGCCTGCAGCCCTGCACTCCCAACGCCCACCTCTATACTATAAAGTTACCTTGCCATTCTTCTGCTCTCACTCACTGCTTTCTTGGTCTGTCCCTCACTGCACTCTCCTTCCTCATCTCTTATCTTTGTCTCTTCCCACCTATCATGCACTCACTGGGCTAGCAGATAAGCTAAAAACAATTAAGAAAAAAAAAACTATTACTTACAAATTTGTTCAGTAACTTGCTGTAACAGAGACCTCCAAACACAACGAATATTCAACTAAAGATTCATACAGTTTAAATTTTAAGCAAGATATTTTCTTTTTTAAAGAATAGATTTATTCATTTTTGTTGCAAAGTCAGATATACAGAGGAGAAACAGATCTTGCATCCGATGTTTTACTCCCCAAGTGACCGCAACGGCTGGTGCTGCGCCGATCTGAAGCCAGGAGCCAGGAACCTCCTCCCAGTCTCCCACGTGGGTGCAGGATCCCAAAGCATTGGGCCATCCTCAACTGCCTTCCCAGGCCACAAGCAGGGAACTAGATGGGAAGTGGAGCTGCCGGGATAAGAACTGGCGCCCATATGGGATCCTGGCATGTTGAAGGTGAGGACTTTAGCCGCCAGGCTTCCGTGCTGGGCCCAAAATACACGTTATTATAAGATCTTTTAAGTTCTTAACCATATCTTGTGACTATTTCATTGACCCTCCAATTTTTGTTTGTACTCAGCACCGGCTGCTATACACCTTAAAGTGGCTATAGGGTACTATTCAGCTGTCTCGTGTCTGTTTTCATTTTGTATTTAGCAGTTTATTGTGTTGACGCATAATTTTGCTGAACTTGGTAGATTTTAGGATAGTATAAACTGGCTTATAAATCTAACAAGGCCTTTGTCAACAGTTGACAAAGGTGCAGAACAGTTTTAGGATGGGTATGCAGAGAAATCTTCAATACCCTAGTGAGGAGCAACTCATCGGAAAAGTGGTTCTTAATTGCCAGCATGTAGTAGACACGGGAGGCTCTGAATTGTGCTAGTCATTTTGACTGTTTCTAAGCTGCTTCCTAAGAAAACAAATTTAACATTTTGTCAGCCTCATTCCTGAATAATAAAAGCAATGTCCCTGTCTCCCAAAGCAAAAGTCAAAAGGTGGGTTTGGCACTTGCCAGTGCAGAATGGAGTTCAGAATGATGGAAGGCTGA